ACCACAACAAAACAAAACAGCAACAACAACAACAACCACCAGCACCATCATCACACGGCTGGCAGCAGCACACACACACATCATATCCCTAACGACGTGCGTCGCAGAGGAGGCCAGCACACACAACACAGTGGCCATGTGGCCGCCGAACCACCGGTCAACCCGCCGGTCAACCCACTGGTCAACCCCATGGGTCAGTCCTGACGGTGAACACAACACAATGTACCACAACACCACCACAGGAGAAAAAGCTGGTTAGAAAAAAACATCATCATCATCATCATCAAAACCAACAAGTATTGGAGAAGATAGAGGCAAACTAGCTGTCAACAATATAGTCCTAGATTTGTCCAAGGGTCCAAGTCTCACACGCAAATATACGGCTGCCCACCGACCAGCATATGTTTTAGTGATCAACAGCTGGCTTAAAAATTTGTAATATAGCCATGGAAAATCTTCTTCGTCAGGGCGTCAAGGACAGAGGTTGTAGTCTAGTCTAGTGTAAATGTAATGTAACATAATCAAAGGCATGATGATACAAAAGGGAAGGACTTTTCCAACACCTTGTCAACCTAATGTTTGCCTTACTCCTGGCTTTGGCTATATATAAAGTTGACTGTTTTGGCTCTTTATAAAGTTGACTGTTTTTCTAAGGGCAAAGTGGTACTACTGAGTGACTACAAGGGCTAAATGCAAAGAGGATGTTAATTAATACTGTCAAAGTTAGACAGCAGCATGTGACATATTGACGCACACTGTTGTCCGGGGCTGCTCGTTTTTCTTCTTTTCTTCCCTTATACACCAGAAAGGTTAGCAAAGGTTGTTTTTTTTAAGCTCATTCCTAATATTTTCTAGTTCATTCCCAACATCTTTTATCACATCCCCAATATGTTCTAGTTCATTCCCAATATCTTTTATCACATCCCCAATATGTTCTAGCTCATCTCCAATATTTCTGAGACTTTTCTATCTCATCCTCAATAATGTTTTTAAATCACATCCACAATATTTTCTAGTTCATCCCCAGGACTTTCTAGCTAATCCGTAATATATTCTAGCTTATCTTATATATTTCTAGCTCCTCTCCAGTATTTTCTAGCTCAACCACAATGTTTTCTAGCTCATCCCTTACATTTTCAAGCTAATCCCTAATATTTTCTAGCTCATCCCCACTATTTTTTAATTCAATCACAGTATTGTCTAGTCTAGCTATTCCCCAATATTTTCTAGCTCATCCCCACGTATTGACGTAGACTGTCGTCCCGGTCTACTCGTTTTTCTTCTTTTCCTCCCTTATACACCAGGAAGGTTGGCAAAGGGTTTGGGTCATCAACATTTATTTTTAAAAAAAATTGAAATCAGGTGTATTACGATCGTATTTTCATAAAATTGAATAAAGATCATAAGGATTCAGCCAAATTCGTAGCAGTGGGCAGCCCTGCAAATGTCTCCTAATACCATAGTCCTAGAATTGTCCTACTGTCTCGCTGTCAGGTCCCACTAGAGCTGGGCGAAGAACCAATTCCGGAACCGATTCCCACGATTAGAGCTACGGAAGAAAAGTTCCGACTCGTTTTTACGTAACCCAACGGTTACCAGTTATTTAATCGTTAAAATCTTCTTTTTTTTTGGATTTATTTTTGAAAAATGAAAGTTGATACTTTGTTGTGTTCCAAAATCAAAGTTATCCTAAATCCTGAAGATGTTCGGAGCCAACCAGGCAACCACTGGAAGAAATCACATCATTAGAAAGTGAGTAATTGGGTTCGGAGTCGATTCCTACGATTCCTAGCTTTCAATAATCTAGAACATAGCTGCCCAGCACTAGGTCCCACAGCCTCCAATGTCTCCCACTACCTTGTCATGTTAGCTCAAACTACACCTCACAGGGACCGGGTCAACAAACACTCCAGCTCTTGCTCCAAGAAAATCCCGACCCCCATACAAAGGACTGTTGTCCAAACATATGTGTCACGACACAGTGGAATCAGGCGCTCGTCAATTTTTGGGCATGTGGAGTTAATGGTGTCATCTTAAAGCTTTTTCATTTGTCGATTGAAAAAAACCCACCCATTTATCTTGAATACAAAGTCGAAATATTTACGACGACTGAAGGAGGTGGGGGTCGCTTGGTCTCAGAAGTAAAATTAGTGAGAAAATGGCCGCCGAAGTTTTGTTATTCCCTTAGGTTGAGAGTCCGTGGAAACAGAAAATTTACATTTTGTATGCCTTTAATCGACATTTTTCAGTTCAATCCACATAGAAATGTGTTCTTTAATGGACATGGAAGGTACTGAGCCCAAAAACAAGAATTCGATAAAAATTCCCAGACCTGCGTAAAAATGCCAGTTTCTTCACTTTGATTATTTTGACAAGCGCCTGATTTCACCACTTGGTCCAACATTTCCCACTCACTCCCGTGTAGACGGGGGCAGGTCCAGAGCCACACTTCTCTTCCTGCTGGCCCCCTCCCTCATCTCCCCCCCCCCTCCCTCATCTCCCCCCCCTAAGGACAATATCTTTGGGACAACGACAGCAATTTCCCATAATGCGTCTTCGAACAGGGCCTAGATGTACATACCGGCGTGTTTCATTTGGTTTTTGTGTATTTATTGTTTATTCTCCTTAAAAGAAAAACGGCCAAAGCAGATAGGTTCCACGATCGTTGGATGGAGATTCAAGGGACTGATAGGTCGCATATAGGTAGAAGCGCCAGTGGCTGTTTATGTTGTTGATGAGTTGAGACCAAAAACAA